GTGGGAGCCTGGCAGCGGCAACGGAGAGCCCCTTGGGTGGGGAGGGGGTGAACACCGCCGGCCCCAGGGCGCTCCGAGCACATGCTGGGTCTCTCTCCTGGGCTCACCCGTTCCTCTCTCCTTCAGGTCGGTGCTACCTGTACATGAAGACGATAGAGCGGGCGCCTTTCCCCCGGCGGCTCTGGGAGCGGGTGAGTTGACGGGAGCAGAGGGCTCTGGCGTAACGCTGCGGGGGGGCAGGGGGCGATGGGGCTCCTCCCCAGGGCAGATCTGCCCCCGCTTTGTCGCCGCGCTGTAGCTCAACTCCGTCCCTCTCCCCCACCCCAGGTCCTGCTAAGCAAGAACTACGAGAAGGCGCTCGAAGAGATAGACGAGAACCTCATCTACTGGCCGCGGTTCATCCGGCACAAGTGCAAGCAGCGGTTCACCAAGATCACCCAGTACCTGATCCGCATCCGCAAGCTGACGCTCAAGCGACAGTAAGTGCCACGACGACGAGCGATCGCGGTGGTTCGGCTCATCGAGCTGCTGCCTGGCCACGGGGCCACCGTCACGGGCTGTGACAGAGCCCTGGGGCACCTCGCCGTGCTCCTGAGGCTTTGGCAGGCTTGTAAGCCTGGCTGAAAGGGATCTCACTGCCCTTAAAGGCAGCTGCAGTCACGTTTCTCACGATGTAACTGCTGGGTGTTGCCCTGAACAATCTCATCTGCTGCCCAAGAGGCTGGGATGCACTAACCAGCGCCTGTTGTTCCCCGTAGGAGGAAGCTCGTTCCTTTACGCAGAAAGATTGAGAGGCGAGAGAAGAGAAGAGAGGTAATGCCGCTCTCAGGTCATCTCCCGCCTGTGGCTGCCGTCCCACGTGTCTCAGGCACTGACAGCTCCTCTTTGCTCCCTTAGGAGAAAGCCCTGGTCGCCGCTCAGCTGGACAACGCCATCGAGAAAGAATTACTGGAAAGACTGAAACAGGACACGGTAAGGATGGCTGCCCTCGGAGCACGACAGGGGAGCTGCTCCTGCTGCCCTCTGCCCTGCTGGCTCTCCAGGGAGGGACGTGGGCGCTGCTGAGCAAGAGCAGCGCCGCCCACGCAGGAGGCGTAGGGGCTGACTGCGCGCTCCCCTTCTCGAGGGGCTTTAGAACAGGCGGGAGGACTTGCTTCTCCGAAACGTAGAGCCCCTCGACAGCAGCGCCTACTTCGGAATTAGGGCAGGGGCTGAGCCCCAGGTTGAGCCTGGTTCGGTACGGCCCCCGCGCAGGCCACGGGCTTCAGGTGACCCTGCCACCACCCGCTGCCTTCCTCCTGTGACTTAGGGAAAATCCACCTTTTCCTTTCCAGTATGGAGACATCTACAACTTCCCCATCCACGCCTTTGACAAAGCTTTGCAACAGCAAGATGCAGAAAGCGAGAGCGAGTCCGAGGCAGAGAGGGAAGAAGAGGAGGAGGAGGAGGAGGTAAGGCTCTCAGCCACGGCACCGCAGAGAATCCTTCCCTGACCTGGTGCAGCACCCGCACGGTGGGCGTTGCGGTGGGACCCTCGGGGTGAGAAGGGGAGATGAGGAGAGGTGAACTCCGAAGCAGCACGTGCGTGCAAGTGGTGGCCTTGATGCCTCTTCTGTCGCGGGTCACGACACTGTGTTGTGCTCAGGGTGCCTGTACCAGCTTCTGACTTTATTTCTTGCAGGATACGGATGAAAGAGAGTTTGTGGAAGCAGATGACAGCGAGCTCAGTGACTTTGAGGTAGGGGAAGCATCAGGTACAAACTGTCAGGCTAAGCTGTTTGAAAGGAACTTCCACCCTCTCGGTGTGGGGATCAGAGCCAGCAAAATCAGATTTCTGGGACATAAGGTACAGTCGGGCTGCGCTGTATCCACTGCACCCCAGCCCCTCTGGCTGGAGAGCTGGGAACCAGGGATTGTAAAATGGAATTGGATACACGAGCGAGTTCTGCAGAAAGAGGGGGTTTAGTTACACGGCGTGCTTTGACGTCACTCTTGTCTGTCCTCCTCAGGACATGGATAAGTTGGAGACAAGTAGTGAAGAGGAGCGGGAAGAGGAAGAAGAAGTAGAGAAGAAGGCCTCTCACTCCAAATCTAAAGGGAAAACGCCCCTGAAAGGACCAGCCAGAAGAAAACGCCCCTACATCGAGATAGAGTATGAAGAAGAAACGGAGCCAACCACCAAAACAAAAGCAACCTGACTCCTCCCTGAACCCACGTTTTGTACTGAATGACAGGACTCCAGACCTGTCACCAGAACAGCTGGTGCCACTCTGTGCAGGACCCTCCAAAGTTACTCCTTTTGCAATATTCTCATTAATAATTTTCTTTAAGAAGAGAATGGTTTCTGTCCCAACCCCAGGCAATTGCAGCAAGTTTGTACAACTCCTGCGTGAAGTGCAGCTGGAAGGAAGACGACTCCCCGCCTTCTGTACCCCCACACAAGGCTCAGCTCGGGCTGTGCTCCGGGAAGGGACCTGGACTGGGGGGGCACTGCTGCTTCGTTCTACAGCTGGAGAAGCCCGCACGTGGCTAGGCGAGTGCACCAGTGTGTCCTGTTTGGGGGAGGTATGGGGCTAACAGGGGTGGGAGGAGAAAGACAGTGACTTTAAATAAATAAAAAACCTTTTTACTATACAAAAAGCAGGGTGAGCTTTGATCGGCCGCGCCTCACGTGTTCTCTTGCACTTCTCTGATGCATTCCCGTACGCGGTGCTCCTCACAGCTGCTGTACACGCCTTCCAGCAAGACCTGAACGAGAAAAGCCATTTCCAGTGCCTTGGCACGCTCAGGTTTACAGTGTTAACCCTCCCCCAGGTATCTGTTGGAAGAGAATTACACAGAGCATCTACAGATACCTGTCGATCTGCATCAGATCACTCATCAATCAGCTGCTAACGCTGAGGTGAGTCGAAACATGCTTTCAAAACACTGTTGGACTGAGGAAGCAGGCAGGCCCTCGCATCCACCATGCTGCCCCTTCCTTCTATAAGGGGGAAGGGACCCGAGATGAAGCCGTGCTGGGTCCCTGGCTCACCTTCACTTGCCCTTCGGAGCAGCGATCCAGCAGGATGAGGCATTCAGTGGCCCCTCGCAGCAAGGCGGCGGTTACGGGCTCTGGTGTTGAACCCCGGTCGGTGTGGACGTCCCAGATCAACCTCAGCAGGGCCGGGAGGAGCACGGGGAGCCGGCAGGGCATCCTGCAAAGGGGAACGGCCACCGCGCCTCGTGCCGGCTCCTCGTCGCAGGGCGGGGGGAAGCACAGCCTGGCTCAGCAGCTCCGGGACGCCTCA